AAGTAGACAAAAAGTTTAAAAGTTTAGTGCAGAAAGCTTTTAAATTTTCAAAGAAGAGATTAGAGGAATAGCTTAAGGAAACAACGGTGGATAACTGATGTCAGTTACATAGTAGATATCTGTATCTTTAATATTTATGCACATCAACATTATTATCTACTTTGTCGTAAAAAATTTTGACTATAAATTATTCGGTTATACATTTATGCTTTTGATGCCTTCGCGCATAGGTATCTCTAAACGCTATGGGTATCTCTTTATGAGCTTTATGAACTTTGTTGCATGTTCAATGAAGTTGTCAGCAATACATATGTTGTATTCTTCTACATATGTACATACATATATATAGTACATTAATACCAGTAAGGGTAAACCTTATCGACTTGTTCTAAGCTTAGCATTAGTGTGGTATGTTTTTTAACTCATGTTTGCAAATAGTTTTTTGGTTAAGACCCATGCGTAGAACTATCGAAAAGCTACTCAGAACAGTTTTATTTTTTTTTTTAATTTCACTTTTCGAAAAAAAAAATTTCTTTTCATCGTAATTTTGCCGAAAAATCTTTTTGCTTCTCAGGAACTCTATATATATTGAAATTTTTATTTTTTTTTTTAAATTTTACTTTTTCCAAAAAATTTTTAGTAATTTTGCAGAACTTCCTGTTTCCTTCTCAGGAACTATGGAACTGTTGAAAAGCTACTCAGAACAGTTTTAATTTATATTTTTTCTTCAAAAATATAACTTTTTGGACTTTTTTGCAAAAAATGTTTTTTTCGGCGTAATTTTGCAGAACTTTCTTTTTCCTTTTCAGGAACTCTAGAACTATTGAAAACCTACTCGGAACACTTTTAATTTTCTTTTTCAAAGAATTGACTTTCGAAAAAAAAAAATTTCAGGAACTCTAGATCTATTGAAAACCTTTTCAGAACAGTTTTAATTTTTATTTGTTTTTTCAAACATTCTTCTTTTTGCGTCTTTTTTTTACAAAAATTTCGGCGTAATTTTGCAGTATTTTTTTTTTTTGCTTTTCAAGGAACTTTAGAACTATTGAAAAGCTACTCACAACAATTTTTTATTTGCATTTCTCAATGGATTTTAGTAGAAAGGACGTAAGATTAATGGGTATGTATTGACGGCTGGTTTTCTCCCACCTTTGGGATGTAGCGGACCATCAGTTTCTGCCATTGTAGTGGAAGAGACCCTACGCAAAACATGCTCTGACTAGCGCAAATTCGTAAATAAAATGGCAATTAGCAGAAGTGTTTTGCTCTCGGCTCAAGCCGACAAACGGTTATAGTGCCAAATAAGAAGAAGAATAATTTAAACTAACAATCGAAGAGAGGAAGATATTTACATACATAATTGAGTATCGTAATCTCAAAATAAAATTTAGAATCGAGTTTCATTCGATAAGGGTTAATTTTGTATAATGTTCAAGAAAAATCTCTTCTTTTTTTTAATTTTTTCATACTTCAGGAAAAAATAAAGATCATCTTTTTAATTTCATAATGCAAATTTTTAATGCCAAAATTTAAAGGCAAAAAGTTAGACACAGACAACGACGCCGGTGCTGGAAGATATTTTTGGACGAGCCTGCAGCACAATCAGTGACCCACGTCACCCACAAGGACGTAAAAGTATTACCAAATGGTATGCTTCTTGCAGATTTGACTTATTCGCTTAACTATTGGCACTATTGGCAGATTTGGCAAATGCGCAATTTTTTTACTGCTCCGAATTCGGTACATAAAAGCAAATACACTAATATGTACATATATCGATCGTTAGAAACACACGCTTTTTGGGGAAAAAATTCGTGGCGCAGAATAGACAAAGAAAATACAGTAATTGAATCAGAAAAAGCGAGAGATAAAAATCAAGTAATGGAAAATGCGAAACAGCTGCTTGGCTTTTTTATTTTAGTGATTTTTTTTTCGACTTCTACGGTTGCTGAACAAGTCAATCACGCGCGTGAAATAGAAATTTACGCATTAATGTGGGAATAAAAAAAAAACCTCAGCACGTCACTCAATTAGTTAGTTTCGGTGCATGTTTATGCAAATAGCAGCACAGGTAAGGTAGGAATTTACTTATTTCTTTATTTTAAAATTACTTAGCTATGTTTGTAGAGTGGCTACTATGCGTTTGATAAGTACAAGCTGGCTAATGATAAAATTACCCACGAATGCGCACGCAAAAAATGTCTCAAAGCAATTTAAGTGAAAGACAATTCAGCGACAATTCAACAACGCACAAAAAAAACGAACGCATGAACAACGCCACAGAAGTAATTAAAATCACTGACGAGTTAGGTAAAAAATAAAAAAAAAAACAAATTACACAAATCAAATTAACCTAAATTGCTCGCACAAGCGCTAAGCCTATAATAGAAAAGCATTTGGGTCTAAGTAGTGGCTATAAGAAAAAGTATGGTATTTTCGCTAGTTAGAAATACCTTTGAAGGCAATTTCTCTTTAGTAAAAAAAAAGTGGAAAAACGTGATTATGCAAATGGAGCGCCTATGGGTTGAATTAATAATGATCTAAGTACATATATATGTATGTGTATATATGACGTTACTAGCTTTGAAAGCCCCATTGTGAATTCGGAACCTAGGTCCGGCCTTATGCGGTCATGTCCTAAAAAAATGTGTCAAATGCAGAGACCGGGAACAATAGGTATCATAAAAACTAAATTCCGTTCTAGTAGTTTTATTCCCATGGACGCTTAAAACCCCCCAAATAGCCCAATCACTTTAGATTTTTTTGACGAAAAAATCCCAGGAAGAAATTTTTTGACGCAGTTAGGTGCCTCCTGTTTACGTGAACACAAAATGAAAATTTTTCCCCCAATTGCGATATGGGAAATGTCCGCCATCTTGGATTTTGTTTTTTTTTTTTTGTGATTTGCGCGCGAATTTTGCACTAGATTTTTTCAACGAAAAAATTCCAAGAAGAAATTTTTGATGAAGTTTGGTGTCTCCTGTTTAGGTGAACACAAAATGAAAATTTTTCCCCCAATTGCGATATGTAAAATGTCCGCCATCTTGGATTTTGTGTGTTTTGCGATTTGCGCGCGAATTTTGCATTTCTCGTGAAAAACGGTAGAGAACAAATTTGTATAGAATTCGATTCCTTACAATTTTCATGTGCCTATCATTTTTTTAAACAATTATTAATTGCTAATAATATGCAAAAAATGCGCAAAATTGGGTAAGTGGCGCGGTTTTTTCGAATTTTGAGCAATTTCTATTTGAAATAAGTGACACATTTAAATGGCAAAGTTGTAAAGGACAAAATTTCCAATAAACGCATTATTTATATGTTCGCGTACGATGTGTAGATCTCGACCAACAACGCGCTCAATGCAGCGGCAGGGGAAAGCTACTCAAAACTAGACCAAAATGAGAACAAAACCTTGCGGAAAGATTTAACCAGAACGGAGGTGAGAACAAAACTGTATAGAATGTTCTCAACAGAAATTATATAAGAATAAAACCCTGTGGAACGTTCCCGAAGAGAACAACATGCGAACAATACTTTCGGGAACATTTTTAAGAGAACAAAATGTGGACAAACGTCTCCGGAACGCGAAAACAAAAAGTTTAAGGAAATTTTTCGCAAACTCCCATTCGGGAACTAAAGTCTCAGCAATCAAAATTAAAAAGAGCTGAAAGATAATCAGCGTTATCCTGAGTTTCGTCCGAAAAAGAAATTCACCCGAAAATCTATAATCTGTCCATAATACATACACGAAAACAAAAAATGAAAAAGGAACCCATGATAAGGCTGCATTATTTATATAAATTAAATCAACAAACGACTTAAGACACGAGCTTTTCTTGAACAGAAAATGAAAAATTGTGCCATAAATGGACAGTTCACCCTAATAATAAACGATCTGGAAGTTGAAATGATCCAGCTTTCCTCTGGCTTGGAATCGTTTTGGTCCTAGCAGAACGTTCGCCAGACTTTTGTACTAGCTTGATCCTCATTGGAAACGTTCTGGATACTTTCGTTCTCATTTTGTTCCCATTGAAAACGTTCCCAAAACTTTCGTTCTCATTCTGTTCTTCTTGAGAACGTTTCGGAGAGCTTTATTCGCATTTGTTCTTTTAGGAAACGTTCCCGAATCTCTTGTTCTCATTTTGTTCTCGTTCAAACTGCTCTCAATTTTTTGTTCTCATTAGGTGCCTTTGTGAGAAAGTTCTTGACATTACATTTTGTTCTCATGCAGAACTAAACCAAAACTAGAACGCATTCTCGGTCCCCGTCCTTAACATATCGCTAGCTTAGAGTGAAAAGTTTCTAAGTCCACTTTTTATGAAAACTCATATTTTGATATAGGAGGCTAGAGAAATTGAAAACGCATCGTTTCGAAAATTATAAAGGTACTTGTTTTATTTTTTGCTCTTCATAAGCAATAAAAGGAAAAATTGCTAAGTCCAAAAGAAGCACCACAAATCCGATAAAGCGAAAATAATACGACATCTTTTAATAAATATCGAATCCTTCTGATTCTTATGGAGTTCTGCTTTGCTTTAAAAGCGCAAAATGTTTGACTCAAAGTCTTGCGAAATAGTTAAAGAAAATGGCTATAGGAAGATTTTTTCCTCTCTTGTAAAATTTTTAAAATGGGACTTAGCAACTTTTCTTTCTAAGCTAGCGATATGTAGCTCATAAAAAGGACAATGACATCAACAAAAGTTTAAACGCAGTCACTTTGGATACAAAATTCAAAGAAATTTCAATTATGAAAACTAAAAAAATCGTTTTGAAATAGAGACAAAAATATAGACTTGCAGTCAAAATTCATTGTGTTATTTTACCAGCTTCGTGTAGTAATGCGTTTTTTGAACCAGCGCATATACAAGAAGAAAACAGGCAAAATCGTAATCAGCAAAATCAGCAATCAATTCAAATTAACTACGAATTTAAATTAAAATCTGTATCAAATTTTATTGCTTAAAACTGTTGTTCATCGCTTGGAAACATAAACCATAATGAAGATACCATTCTTTAGCAGCTCGGCGCCCAAAGGTGAGCAAAGTGTTTTTTAGAGTGTAGGAGGAAGAAAAGAGCGAGCGAGTACGTAAAATAGCTGTGGCAACATGGAAACATTTAGCATTGCATTAAAAATTAATAACTTTCAATGCAAATTGGCGGCTTGTGAAAGCGCAATGCAAGACTTTTGAAGAGCTTTCACTTGAGCGTGCTTATGTCAAAAGTCTGTGAAAAGCTCATTTTACTTATGTAGCTTTAATACGAATTTACTACAGTTGCCCAGTAGCTTTATCACAAGAGCTTTTCATTTCTTGCTTGTTGCCACAGACCAACTTGATGTGGAAGATATCGCCACGTCGTGTGGTTGTTGTTCACTTGCAGAGCCCGAACCCATATCCTATGCTTCGGAGTTTCGCGATTTCATACAAAATAATGCACCATTGGATTTTGAGACAAAAATGGCACGAGCGCGACCATTTGTTTTCGCTAGCTTTATAGCGTGGCCGGCGTTTTGGATGTATAGAGGAATGGATTGGAGCAATAGGGCGCCGTTGGAACGTTCCTTGGTCAGCTATATAAATCGGGTAAAATTGGGAAATTTTTGTTAACAATAGTATAGGTATTAAGACAAAGGAATTTACTTTCTCCGTAGACTTTTCATCAAGCCAAGTTAATGCAGTTTGCAATACTCAGTTTGGGTCTAATGTTTGCGGTATATGAAGAGAGCCCTCTTCTGCATAAAGTGAACTATATGCTTAAGGGTATCGACCACGAAGACGATTACAGAGGTAAACCTAGACCGGTTGATTGATTGCGAGTGAATAACTAACTTAAATTAAGAGCCAGGCTCTGAGAAAATGGGGAAGAAGAAAGCTAACGTTTTTTTAGTTTACAAAAAGTCCCAAATTCGGCAGATCACAAATTAAATGCACTTATCAGCAATTAAATTTACTCAGAAAAATTTTAAAGAAAAATTTAATGTTTGCCAACTCAAACAAAACCACTATAGTTTTCGACAAAAAAGGCAGTACAGAAAAGTATTTCACATTTCTGATAGTTTACATTTGAAATTTCTGGCGTAAAAATTCAAAATAAAATCCTTCTTGGAATAAATAAAAAAAATAAAATAAAAAAAATCTTTTTTCTTGGTCCTTTTGTAGAATACTAAAAATTATAGTGCATTCAAAAAGTTTCGCGATTAAATAATTTAAGTCAAGTAAATTTAAAGCAAAGAAACCCCAAATTCAAGCTTCCCGTCGGCTACTCAACTTTTTAGTGCAACTTTGTTCTTCCAAAAATCGTAGCGCGTCGATAGCAGCCCAAGACTTGGAGCACAATGGGAATCTTTGAAAATTTATTTCAAAAAAAGAGTACCCAACAACGCTATTTTGAAAGTGGTGAGTTACAAAAAAAAAAAAAAAAGATGAAAAAAAAAAAAAAAATAACGCTTTAATAAAATTAGCGCCGCGCGATGTTAACCTAGGCGAGGAGGTGCGCCGCCTAATGCACAGACGGGATATTGAAGCGACAATGGAAGCTGCCTCACCATTTCTTATTAGTGCCGCCTTAGCCTGGCCAACAGTTTGGCTGTATCGCGGATTCGATTGGCATGCCCATAAAGGCAAGGAGACGCTGCCGCTTTATATTAGAAAGGTGAGTACCAAAAAGAAACAAAGATAAAGATTTAAAAATGGTTGGTCCTATAACTTGGGGTTGCTCGCTTTCTAGACTTTCTTTCAAGCGAAGGCCGTACAATTTGCAGTGCTCGCAATGGGTCTAATTTATGTTGTCGGCAGCACATCGACGCGCAACACGTAATATTCGTTCATTGAGGACACCTCTTTGATGCCTAGGGGAAAGAAAAATCCTTCGTCTGAGCAGGAAACTGATGAAAGAGTTAAAGTTATAGTGTACCATATCCATATATTAAATAAATTGACTTCGAAAGAATGTGCAAAAAAATTTTAACTATAAGTACTGCAAGGGATGTTATGAGAGAAAACAAAAAAAAATAAATATAAATTAAAATAAAAACCAAAGAAAGAATAAAAAATTAAAACTTAAATTTAAACAAATTTAACAAATAGCCAAAAATAAATAACGATTAAAAGATATAAAGAATTAATAAATTTTAAAAATCTTATAGGTAGTAAATATTAAATATTGTATATAAAAAAAAGTATAAAATATTGTTGATGGTTAATTTTTTTGTTCAGTTTACAACATTAAAATACACTATAGGATAATAATTTAAGAATATTCTAAATAATCTAAAGAATAATGAAACAATTTAAAACTATATTGAAAAATTATTTAAAAAATATTGAAAAAAGAAATAACATAGAAAAATATTAAATTATCAAAAAAATATAAAAACTAAAAAAATATGTAATTGCAAACCATTAACGGCAATAAACATTTAAAAACAAACAAAAAATAAGAAAAATTTAAATCAAAATAAAAAAATTTAAATAAAAAAAGCTAAAATGGAAAAACTAAAACGAAAAAACTCAAATAAAAGAAAATTAAAATCAAATTAAAGAAATACAAATTTTGAATGAAAACTAAAAAATTAAAACTAAATAAAAAATAAATAAAAATTAAAAATAAACCTACAGCAAAGTAAACAAATACAGTTGAATAAGTTTAATACACCTAAATTTAGTTAGGGAATTTCCCTCTTTAATTTATTTTCATAGCAGCTTAAGTATGTATGTATATTTTTGAATTTTTATACATAAAAATTTATTTATAGTTTGCTTGTATGAAACATTTACTTAAATAATTTTTTTATTTCTTTTTTATAAAACGATGTGGGGAGTGGAGTTGTCATTAAAAGAAATCCATACTATCAATCAAAAAATTTAATTATAATATTTTATTAGTTACGACTTTTTGCATTTCAGGTTACGATATATAACTTTGGTTGACAACGTTTTTTCTGGAATGGACTTCCAGTAAAAGTAATAGGACCAAAAGATGGAGCATCTCCGACTTGGCGGTTCATATTTTTTCTTTTACCAATAAAAACATATTCGTTCATATGCCTTATGTACATAGGTACATATGTATGTATGTACGGTAAAAAGCATTGGAACAGAGAATTTTTCACATTATTAGCTAATTTCACGAAAGCAATTTAAGTGAAAAATAATTTTAATTTTTTGTATTTTATATGGAAATTGACAGAAAATAAAAAATCACTTTCCATTTAAATTGCTGGTGAAGCCGGCTGTATATGCAACAATTTTAGTTTTAAATATTTAATTATTCATACTACAACAAAAAAATATGACTCAGGAAAATTCAATAAATTTTCATGCAAATTTTTAACTTTTCAAATTTTTTATAATGTTTTTGAGTGTGATTTGGCATTTTTTAAGCATTCTCTTGCATCCTAAAAAAAATTGCGAAAATTCTTTGTATGGGAAAAATGCGAAAAAGTTTCAACAAAAAATTTTGAAACTTGCATTTTTTACATTAAAATTTAATGGGCTACAAAAATGCATACTCAAAACCATTCTAAAAAATCTGATTAAAGAGTTGCAAATTTGCTAAAAATTTATGAATTTCTCTGAGTTTTGCACAAAGTTTAGAAACTATAGTTTTATGATTTTTGTTGTAATATGAATCATATTTTTATAAAAAATTTGCAAAAAAAAAATTCAATAAAAATTTTTGCATATTCTCTTCTGTGTATTAGATTAATTTATTGTCAATATAAAATAACTGTTACCCATGTAATTTCTAATATCTTTTCTTTTTTCCTTTGTATACCACGACGATCACGAACTAGTTCGAATATGAGTAACACGGAAATTTGTATTTATGTATAGTAGAAAAGCTCGTTACGCTACATCAAGCAATTGTACATTCAACTAAAACGCAGCTTGAAATGCATTTGCGCCTGCGCACAAAACAATTACAATAACAAGCTAAACTTCTTTGATCTGCATTCAAATTCTGTTAAAATAAAATATGCAAATATATACAAGCATAACTATGCTTGAATAGCATGATTTTATCAATATTCATGATAACGTTGTCTGTTAATCATATATCATTACAATTGCAGACATTGATATACAAATAGAAATAGAACGCGTTGACATGAAACGCAGCTGTTTTCTCTATTATTTACCATTGTAAGCTAAGCATGCATATAAATGTATATACATATACATATGTATGTATGTGTAAACCCACAACTTCTCGCTGCACTTTCCCCACTAACATTTTATACACTTTCTTCAAGAAATTAAATTTAATTCAAAAAGCCATAAAATCCACGAGCGATAATGATTTCAAACGTGGTAATTTCTTCCAATTCAACACTTTTTATATCCAATAATAAAAGATAATTAACAACTTGTACTTTTATTGAGGTCTGCATGCCCGTGATAAACAAGTGCAGCTCTTTGAGGTCAAGAGTATTCAGAAAAACCCAATATACAGTCTCAAAAAATGTGAATTTCTAAAAAAAAAAAAACATTTCATAATACTATGTACTTGTACCTTTTTACATATTTCGGTGACACCTACATTAGGGTGGTCCTTAAAAAATCAAATGAACCAGTTTTTTTTCACTCTCAGCCCCTCAATCGGTAATACCACGGTCACAGATATCACATATAAATTTCGGTAGCAATTGGAGACGGTTAAGGCGTGTCCATTCGGAACCAAAATTTATATGTGATATCTTCGACTATAGTAACATCGACGTAGGGGTTGAGCATAGGAAATCTGATGTACAAGTTTCCTTCCTACATTTAAGGACCACCCTAACCTGCATAAATTGGCAACACATATTTTTTTGGTTTTATTGTTACACTGAAATATTTAAAATATCTGCTTGGCAAAATTTTAATAATTTTTTGAGAGCTTTAATTTACTGACATTAGGGTGGTACGTTAGGGTGGTAAAAACTGCGATCTAGTGGATAAGTAATACATGGAATGGGACACTAGAGGTCAATGGACTTTGGAACAAAAAAATGTCTCTTCCGAGAGAAATATATCGATGTATGATACTTCTAGATCTGACTGTAAATGCCGAAGTTATGGCAAAAAATAAAGAATGCGACCCTTAGGTTCGGCGAAAAAAAAATATAAATTACTTTGCGAAAAAACAATACCTGCTTTAAACTCAGCAGTGTCGGCGTGGAAGATTCTCCGCTTCCTTCTTCCAAGGGGGCGCGAGGACGGTGGCAGCGTTGACTCCTAGGTATTTGGGGAGATGCTGGTGGATGACGACAGTGGATGTTGTGGCTGTTGTGGACCAAAGCTCACGGGTCGATAGCTCCACAGTGTGGGATTTTTGTTGTTGTGAGTGGGGCAACTCGCTATGCGATTGGGCGATGCTTGCCGGAGATTTCCAATTGTCGGCACGACGGGAGCACTGATGAAGCCGGAAGCGAAGGTGGAATTTTATCACCAAACACGGGTCGCGGACCGGCTGCGATTAAACCAACACACGCTGAATCAAAACAACAACCGAATATAATAAAACCACGCAGGTTAACTGGTTAAATTCAAGTGATTGGTTTATTGTATTTTCACAACTTATTTCACGGGTTTTGCGAATAAAGAGTAATTTTTCTACAAACTAGATATGCACGAGCTCGAATGTATAAAAATCGAAAGTGTTTTTAGTTCTTTTCAGCACGGGTATATATATATGTATGCAAAACAAATGTCAAAAAAAGTCTACACAGATACGAGTAGACAATACATGCATTGCCACCCGTATCGCCAGATGCTTACATAGCGCCTAGACTATCAGTTTAGACAAAAAATACAAAATTCATTGCAAACAAATTGCCGCATTTATATGAAGAAAAAAATGTAATTGGATGATCCGAAGTTAACGGCGAACATGCTGCAGCGTTGTTCGCGTGAACATCCAGCCGGCCCTAGCCGCATTAAGCGGATAGTGCTTCCTTTAACTCCTGGAGTGTCCTGAGCGCCTCCTGAACCAATAGCTTTGTGGTCTTGTCTCGGTAATTTGCGGTTTGCAGTCCCTCCTTCGTGCGCCGGACTCTACGGTTTTCGACGTTCGTGGCCGTTGGATGGTGTCGGAGGTGCTTGGAGCGAGCTGGGGTACGCCCTGATCCCCCACGTTGTGGGGAGTGTAACTTGGGCTGAACTAGTCGTTTGAGGGGCTGCACTGCGGCATTCGGGCTGCTGCGGCGGACTGTCGATGTACTACGTCGATGCAAGAGGGTGTGGTGCTGCAGTGAACAAACCTTGCAAAGACCACTTGAGGTACATTCAGCTGTAGTGTGCGACAACGCCAGACAGTTCGTACAATATTTATGTGCCCTTGCCAACAAAAACCGTTGCTGCGGCTGCATACTTGCAAACACGGGGCATAGACGCAGTGCGTGGTGACGGGTGCACAAGCGGCATCGTTGGTAGTCCTCCTCGATACGGTGAGAGCCAGGTGATGGTTCGCGTTCCACGGAGGGTGTCATTACCACTTTGGACTTGAGTAATGCGCGCGGCGCTGGCGTTGGGGTTCCACTGTGGTCCATCTGTAAAGATTTTATATACGGAGATTTTTAGTTTTTCGTATTATACCAGGTGGGAGACATATGAGACAGCTACGAGAAGTGTGTAGGTATGTGTCGTGTGTGGAAATAGGCAAATACATATACAGCTATCTGGCTGCGTTATTGAGGTAAGGGATGTATGGAGTGGTTAATCGGCTTCAAGGCGAGAGGGGACATCTTCGCTCGAAGGCAGAAATACTAATTTTACTAATGGCCGAGTGAGGAGGCCGGTTTGGGTGCGGACGTCGACCACACGAATGTGTCCATC